TTTTTTTGTTTCTCTTTGTCGCGGGATTTTTTCTTTCTTCTTTAAGAAAAAAAATACGAATCTAAAATTTTCAAAACATTTTTCTTGGCAATGTTGAGCAGCAAAGCGAAGACGACGGCAAAAATAACACCAAAAACAACAATAGCAATATCAACAACAACAAAAACAACAACAACATAAACAGTAACAACAACAACAACAACAACAACATTTTATTGTAGCATTATGAAATGTTAACAAGCAGCAACGATTTAAGAATTCACCTTCGCCCAGTATCTATGCAGTCATTGACATGACAATCTTAAATAACAAATTACTGACGCTGACTTCGTAGACCCAACTTTTATCTATGTAAGCCTTTTATGAGCAACGATTAGGAGCACCACAAGGGGACACCAATTCCACCAAAAGGGGAGATGGTCTTTTCCCATGTTGCTTACAAAATTTATAATTTATCTGCAAGATTCAATGATTTATTATTTGTCTCTAACTGGCACCTTGTAACGCCTATTTCAATTGTGATTTATTCTCTTCTTTCATCAATATCGATAAACAAAAATCTGTCTAAGATAGTCTGACATATTTTATTAAGTGCAAATGTCAGCTAAAAATGATTTTAGAATGCGGTTTTGTTAAATTAAGAACCACAAAAGACGATTCGCGCATATCCTGTTAGCTTGCGTTTTCAACTAAGCCTTTGGGCTCCAATCGATACTAAGTTACTGAGTACAATGTTGCAAAAGTTTACGACAATTTGGCACACACATGTAGACAAATTTATAGAGATATTTAGAATATATCACGTCCGGTTGTACAAAAGGCAGAATTATTTTAGGATCCTAGGCGTTGTCAGTTGAGACACAACTGAATCGAAACCTGGAACATTTGAAGATTGGCTACTCGGTTTATATTAGGGGAAAGGGCTTTAGCACATGAAAAGAAGCTCTTTAGATTCTCGATAATATTGCTTTAGAAGATATTTGCAAAATATTATTGTCATGATTAAAATATTTTATGTCCACTAGATTGAATGTTTCACTCGTTGATCCTCGTGTTTTGGCTATTGGTTATATTTAATGGAATCTTGCCATTGAAAATACATGGATCTGCGCGTTGTACCGTATACATTTCAGCAAAATTGACGCTAGCATTTAAAACATACTCTTCGCTGCTAATTCAGTACTTTTCGTTTCGCAATAGGAACAACTTCAAAAGTACTCCTATTTAGATCTCTTCTAGTGATGGTCTGTCGATGACGTAAAAAACATCACTATAAACCCTTCTATAAATTTCATTTCTTTTCGGTCCATACGTTTTCGCTTTAGTGGGTAATTGCTCCCTTCCATTCTTTTCATTAATGTTGAAAGCGATAAGCGCAAAGTGAATTTTCTGAAACTTCACTGTTGCGGTTGTTTTGCTAGGATTTCGCGCAGAATCACTTGCGAACACATACCAATTTTCTGTGACAAATTGTCAGTAACTGCACTATGTCTCGACGCATTTTGCTGACCATTTAAATTTCCCATTGGTTGAACTATACAATAGACCTATTGTTACATATTCAGTCGGCTAATTCTTGATGTTTTCTCGATCAAAATGCGCTGCAAAGCTTATTTTTAACTCTCAACTGTTGACTGACGGGACATAGTTTCTTTAAAGGCTCTTGCGCAACCGGCATGCTTTGCGACTATATTTGCATAACTGGCCTAATTTCGTACTTCATGAAAATGCAAAACACAATCAGTTTCTCAAGACATCTGCCGCTAAGCATCTCATTTGCTCCTGAACGTTTTCGACTGCAAGAACAGATTAGAAAAGATTGTTTGAGAAGTTATGAAACCCTACACGCGGCCTATCATGAATCCTCCTTGAAGGTTTTTATCCATGTCTTAGATTCAATTCGCTTCAAGTTCTCAGCTCAGCCTTGTGGCCTGGTCGTTCCTGGTAGAGCAAAGTGTCATTAAAAGACAGTGAATGCAATTGGTGGAAATACTATCCTGCACTGTTATACTATATTTCATCGTTTAATTAACACACCATTTATATTTGAGAAGACTGAAAATAAAGCTTCAAAGCCCAAACAGGGTTTCTTTTTGCAAATAAGCGATCACTTTACTGAAGGTAAAATAGTGAATGCAAATATATGTCCATTTACAAAAAAAATTCATTGATATCCTTTAACACTAATTTTCATTTCGTCAAAAGGATAAAGTTTCTATCCCATTCATGTTAGAAGCTCAAGACTTATTGATCGAGTTTCGCAACCAAAATGGCAGTACATTAACCTGTTGTACAACCTTCGCTTTTCAAATAGGGCTTTAGAGTACATACAGCTCACCACAAGTCTCCAATTACCAGGTTTTTGTCAAAAGACTCCTTTCAGCAAGCCATACAAGGTCGTAGTAAAGTCTTTACTGGGCTCTAGATTCGTATCAGTTTATAAGGCGAAAAGTAAATCGAGAACTTCGGGTTTCTCCTCTCATTAGAATAAAGTAGCTGGGGATTAAAGCCCCCGTTCCGGTCCTCAAAGGCGTTTTTCATGAATACATACCTACGCACCGGTCATTTCCATAGAATGCTCTATCAGAATTTAGAAAGAATATAGAACATGGAGCTGGAGCGATAAAAGCTTCCTATAGACCTGAAAAAGGCTGAATTGTTGGAAGATTCTTCAATAAACACCAGTTCTTTTTGTTCCTTTCTGTGTGAAATTCAGCACATCGCTCTTGTTTAATGCCATTAAACTAAACAGTTCGTGTTGTTTCTTGCAATCCCAGTCCTCTGTCAGCTGTTAATTTATCCTTTACTTGTTTAGCTTAAAACCCTGTTTATAATTATTGATTGCAAAAGCCAACACTGGACAAATATTCATAAATTATAAAGGATACCAGGCGGAAGGTAAAATCGAGCCTGGCTCTGCGTTTACCAAGATCTTCAGATTATCCTGATCTGTCATTTTTTCATACACGAGATGCAATAATTTTGTTGATCAAGACAAGTTGATTTCGAAAATAAGGCTTAGCCGTTGACACAATGCACGTCTGTCTGATTTAGTCCTGACTCGTGACTTAGCCTTTTAGAAACTTCATAATAACTTTAATCTGGTTCTATTTATTTGGATTCCGAAAATGGATTTGCCCACCAGACAATGTTACTTGTGTTTTGTTCACAGCAAGGTCTTCTGTTGGGCTTGTGGACAATTGCGCTGTAAATCTTTCGCGCATGACAACGGACCTCTTCGGCCTGTGCACAGCCGATAAATTTTCTGATTTCAATTGTTTCTCTTTCTCGCGACCACAAGATCGTGGACGATCGTATCCACCTCATTGGACATATTCCTTTTCGTTGCATATTCGTTTGTAATTTTCTAATTCATGCTTTTGAATCAGCTAGGAATGCTTGATAATCAGTAAAATCTCGATACATTTTGCAAGCGTTAGTTTATTCATTTGCTTCAATTTTATCTTTGCTTTTATTTAGTAATTAGGGTTCCATTTACCCTCTTCTTTGAAATTATCTCCCGTCCTACTTTCAAAAATTCCCAAGATCCTTTGAATGACGTCACTGTCGATTCGAAAATTTTGTACCTGTGCCTTCTGTTCAATTAGATTTAAGAAATGATGCCATTATGAAAATATTTTTTCAATTTTTTAGTGTATTTGAATGTTTCGAATGTTATGAAAATCAGAAAGAAAATATTTTTGAAAGAAAATCAGAAAATGCTACTACTTAGTACGATCCAAGCAATATTGGCTGCGAAACAGGCCAATTGAGCTTAATCCAAAGCACTTACTGTAAACTTCAGGTCTTTCAATGCCTATGATACTCTGCAGTTCTAGAGCACTTTTGAAGAGCTTAGATTCATTCCCCAGTGATCTTTCAAATGGTACGGCCAAAACTCAAAATTTCTCTAAACAGTTCATTTTGATGTCATATTTCTTGACTTTATAGACTGCACCGTCTACCTGTAAACAATTCTTCAGAATTACACCCACCACCCCGTCTTCCATTTGTAAGTGTTGCCCCTATTCTACGAACAATTTTCCAATGAGAATTTAGAAGCTTCCTCCCAACTGTCAAAATCTCTGATCCTTTTACACTGGGCAAAGTATAACTGTATTGGGTTGTATTGACAGGAAATTGAACTGACAACTGATCAAACCAGAAACAGCAAAATAAAATTTTGTGCCTTTGCAGGTTAATCTTTACATCTAATTTAAAATGAAGAATTTTGAAATAATGTCAAACATCGTTGCGGTCTTCTTGTTAATTATCGATCTTAAGTTTATCTTAATGGAACTTGGTTAGAAATTATTCACCATTAGATTTCGATATCCTTTGGTTAATTTGGCTGTGTGTCCTAAAACACATCATTCAGTGTTTAAAAACGGATTACCTATACGGTAGCTGAAAATTTTCTTATTCTAATTTTCAGTTAAACTTAGATGTTTGTATTTTTAATATACTCTGATATTCTTCCTTTCTAATGCATTCACCGAGTCTTTTCAAGAGATGTGCCGCTTTCAAAAACCTATATCTTTATTTCTTGGACAAGAATTGTTTGCACACACCCAAATCTAGGGAACATTAACTGAGATTTCCTGCTTATAGTGTTCTATTTTTACATGCAATTAAAACCAGCCTTTTTGCATATGGGTATTTCGTTTGAATGAAAACATTTCATACATTTAATTTGGTATCTTATTGTTAATACGATTTTCTATCAAAGCCCACAGAATCTACCTTTCTAAAAGGTTGGAATACATCGCCAAGTTTTTAAATCTGCACTGAATTGCAACTAGAGAACAAAGTATTGTATAGGTTTTTAGAATATGTAGACTTGTTTTTGGCAGCTAATTCATTTAAAGTTCCAGGCTTCTCTTATATTACCCTGATACCTTCCTTCACTTTACTTGCTAACGTTCTTTGTTTGTTCATTATTGATGACTACCATGTACATGATGCAATATAATTCTTAGAAACTTTGTTGTTTCTTTCAGGTTTGCATCTTGAGCATGATGTTTCAATCTACAAGAAAGGTATGATTACTCAATATAAACATTACCCTATCTCCTATCTAATCTTTAAGATTGTAAACCTACCATCATACTGGCGTTAAACCGTAAACATTGCGTGTTACAAATTATGTTGCAACAATAAAAAAGGTTTTAATCGCACAGAAATGCTTAATCTTTTTTAAATTGGGGGTCTTATGCCAAATCCCTAAATACTCAACTATTTTATGAATGACCCGATTAAGGCAGGCATCTGTGTTAGTTTGAAATCCGCCTTAGTGTGGTTTGTCAATTCCCTTGATCCGTAAAATTATAAAAATTGAAATAATTAAATAAAAATTCTCGCCAGATTACCTTAAGAGATGAGCGAGTTTTTTCTCTTGAAAATCAAATACAGAATGCATTTGATGGTGGTGTTTGTTTTGGTTCACGGGAATACTCGTTACCTTGCCTCGTTGCCTTGGCAAGCTAGAGCAATATTCTATTCTGTTGACCACCAAGATAAAAGAAATTCCAATGTCTGATAATAAAACATATTTTTTAAGATTGTCAATGATAACAAGAGTTTAAAAATATATGAAACCTTAAGTTATTTTGCGTAAATCATAAATTGGTTATCAATGATGATTTTTCGAAAGTTTACGGATTCAGTATTTAGTAAGAGCTTTGAAAAGGGGATAATAACAGATACAGAAATTACTGTACAGTCATATTGACCTTTTGCGCCATCAAAGAATTTTTAAAAATATTAAGCTTATCCCGTGTCTGGCTAGTTTCAAATCTAGATGTTCTGATCTTGACATTTGTATTTCAGTTTTGCGCGATGCAAAGCACTACTGGAACTTCGATAAGGCCACTAGTTTATACAGCATACAAGACAAAGTAACTGGCAAGCGTGCTTCTATCAGGGAAGGAGGTGCAAAGTTGACTAGGCTTGGGCGTCAGGCGAACAACTACTTGACATTGGAAGGGCGCAGCTCAAGCATCGAGCTGGGAAGGTTTGATGGATGCATTGGGGATCTCTCAGAATGCAACGTTGGTCTGACATTTTCACTATGGCTGAGGTTTCGAGATGTTCCTGGTGAAACGCAGTATATTTTGGGCAACGCTGTTCCTGGGAGTGGCACAAATGGGTTTGCTTTGATTAGAAGCAAGGATAACACAATGCAGGTATACTTTGCTAATGACTACGGAGCATTTTATACCACATACACTGTCTCAACAAACATCTGGCTGCATCATGTCATTACTTGGGATCGGTCAAAGGTTTCGGTTCATGTAAATGGAAGGAAGCTTGTCCATGTGACTAAAAGGAAAAGAAGAAGCATCGAAATTCCACATGAGCCTAATCCAAGTGAAAGAAAAAGGCGTGAGCTGGGGAACAGTCTGTTTACTTTTGGAGGTCATGGTTTCAAGATTGATGCTGACTATGACAATGTCCTCTTTTGGAATCGGGTTTTAAACGACACCGAGGCTACTGTGATGTTTTACAGAGATCTTGGTAAGTCAAAAGGTTTTACTCTGCATTTGATTTTTCGTTTGAGGTCTGCAGTGTTTATTACGAATGTTTTAACTTCATTACGGACTTCTTTAAATATTAGACGATAAATCTCTTTGGAGATTTTAGTTAGTGCGAATCTTCTACAGCCTGTGCCTGTGAGGGAATTCTGAGTTCGTGTTGGAAAGGATTAAAAGATTTATAAATTTCGAATTCCTTATGGCTAGATTCACATCACTATATGACAAGTGACAGGATATTTTGAATAATTTTTTTAATGCAACCCATGTCCCCTAATTGTTTCCCTGGAAGCCCGTCCCCATAAAATGTTTGAGCATTGTTTTCATCACCCTTACACATAAATGAATAGAACGTAACCATAATTTATAATTGTTGCAAAGAATTGTTTATACCAATTTGTTCTTTGAATTCTTTCTTATATATTCCCAAGGTCTAAATTTTATCGGGATTTCCTTCTAACATATGTAAATTACTCCAATGTGAAATCGCTGAAGAAACACAAGATCTGTATTCTCTATTCATTTTTCTTTTGGTGGATGTTCATATGGGATTAGCTTAATATTTGTGTTTATGTCATCTGGTTAAAGGATCACGGAAGAACGTCTTGAGAATGTTTGTTGTATCAAAGAGTTTGCAGACGAAAATAATTGAAACCGTTGTCAATGAAGAGGGCTTACAGTAAGATCAAATGACAAATTAAGCACACTATCATTTGCCACATCAAAAGGTTTTACAAATCTTATTAATGGATAAAACAACCTTTGCTTTCATTACGATCACCGTTATACCAAACGACTTTGTGTAATAACTCTCTGTCTTGATTCTTGGGGGAGAACTTCGAGTTCACAGAGTAAAGTTATTAAGACAAAGGGCTCTTAATCGTCTACTCTGTTCGCTAAATAAAAAGGCAGCCACGAAATTCAAGAAAAAAGTGTAGCGTAAAATTTCTTACAAATTTTCTAAATAGGCAATTTTACAGTTTCACTATGGTAGCTTCAGATATAATAACTACTATGACAACTGTTTTTCTTGTTGAAAAGACAAATTGGTCACAGTTTCTCTTTAAAATATTTCCATTTTGTGAGAGGTTCACAGCAGGGATGCCAGTGAGGGGGACGCGGGGGTTAAGCGCCTCTGTTGTCTTTCGATAGGAGGGGCAAGGGTGGGGCAAAGTGCCCCTTTCATGGAAGTTCTATTTTATAGGTCGTTTGTTATTATCAAAAGATTCATATGAAATTCTGACGGTACTGCTCTACAGAAGGTCGAAAAAATGACAGTTAGTAGAAACAAAATAGAATTGCCCCTTTGGTCGTTTCGGCGTCTCTTGTTCATAGCAAGCAAGAGACTACCACCCATCAACTGATTGTGTTGACAATTTCAACTCTGTTTAATGTGAAATTTGTTTAATTCTGTTAGTGGTTGAATAATCTCCTTTATCAGCAATTCAATACTTTAAGGTTCAAAGGCAGTTAACAGAAGGTCTTAACATGTGAAATTCGCAGGAGATGTTTGTTTATTTGTTTCAAAAATTTTGTCAGCTGGGGTCCACTTTTGTCACCTTGTGTTGGTTTTATTTGGTTGGTGAATGGCCTGAAAGTGTTACTTGATTTCTCACTTCTTACATTTATTCACATTTCGTGTACCTTTTCTGATGTCTCGGCTCTCGACACCAGATGAGCTGTGCCGCATTGTCAGTTGGTTGATTAGAATCGTCACTGATTTCGCGATTGCGTAAAGAGTGAATTATATCTTTGGCCTTGCTTAAATGAGATAAGACATATTTCATCCTCGAAGCTTTAAGAGAAAATTGCCATACAACACGATTGACATTGACATTGTCATCATAATTTTTGTCATCAGAATTCTTGCCATTATAATTCAAATGACCCTACGTCGTAGATACCCCTTTTCAAAATTCTTATTGCAATTTAGAAGCTAGCAAACAAGAAAACCTGTTAATGAATATTTAGTTGATCAATTCATTCGTGACAGTATAGTTATAATATCCTTGAAAATAAGACATGTTGATTGTCATTTGTTCCCTTGTAGTAAGGACGGCGGAAGCTGCTATATTTCCAAAATGTACTTGAAATCATACCAAAAATCGTCCTTCTCTGGGTCTTTAGTATTCCCCCCCAAACGTTTTAGCCCCCTCAATCTGCAAGGTGCTTCGCGGTCCTTGCTTTGTAGTCCATGAAACATTTTCTCATTTCACCATGTGCAAGGACAGAAACTAATTAATGGCTAATTCTATATCGATATCATCTCTTTGTCGTTTGTGCCATCTTTTTTTCTCACAGCCTCAGTGGATAGTTCTAATTTTCGGTAATTGTCGCTAGCTAAATCAAAACTGGCATTTAATAAGTATTGATGCCTATGTCTCGTTTCTTATGTAAAAACCCCTATCCTATGCCAACAAATTTCAAGGCAAGAACAGTTACATCATTTATTTTACTGCCCAATGAGTCTTGAAGTGATGTATTAAATGGCCTGATGATTTCGTTTGCTTGTTGCCCGAGACTCTCATACGTTCGAATTTGTTCTTCGCCTTACTATAATGAAAAACGGGACATCAATTTCATCAGTTTGCTGGGCTGTTAACTTCCAAGAGTGATTCACTCAAACATTTTCAATTTCGATAATATCTATTAAGAGGCGCGGCAAAGAATATCCCTATTGAATTGAGGTCTTTACTGCGACTTTAGTTTATTCAAATGTTTGGACTGCTTCAAAGTTTTCTCACAGAGAAAGCCGGTAACTAAAAACCGTAATTTTTCCGTTAGAAATTAGCATTTGTTGGACTGAAAGCAGTCAGGAAACGCGAATGGAAATCCTTGCATTATTTAAACGGTTTACTTTAAAGAATTGTTATTCATGTTATTAAATTTGTGTAACTGTTCTCACGGACGTAAGTTTCATCAAAAGGAAAATGAATTTCTACTTTTGACTGTGTTTGTTACAAATTGGGTAAAATTGTGTGAAGTTTCAAGAAAATATTTTAAGTATGGTGAATCTCTAGCGCCAGTTTCTAGCAAACATGGAAATAACTGAATTAAGATCTGAAATGGTTTTTCATTACAACAGTTTATTGTCTAATTATTAATTGTGTTTGCGTAGCCGTGCTAGAGTAATAGGATTGTCTTTCTTGTATGTAGACATTGCAACTTTAATCACATTTCACAGTGCTCCATTTTTGAAAGCCAAACATTTTCCATCGAGTGTAGTACAACAGAATAAGTCATCGTCACCCTAATGTATTCATGATTTAAATTGTAGTTTCAAATATTAAAATTATGCTTTTCTTTGCAGAGGAACCTGTCATAGACTTTTGCAAAAGTACTGCATCTTCGATATGTCTCTTCTGGAGCCTAAGGAAAGACCCTTTCAATCGTATTCAGAAGGTTTCTCTATCCTACAAGTACCTATATATGACAGATCGGCCTCTCCGAATGGGTTTGAACGTAACATCGGATAACTTATGCATTGGCAAATTAGGTACGTTTTTTAACTACATACGAACTAAGTGGGCCTGCATTCGTTTATATTTGTTCGGAATACAACAGCTTTTATCATAAAGAAGATGTAGCAGTATAAGAAGCATTCTGACAACTGCAATCAGGTGACTTAGAGCCATATTGTTCCATATGTGAGATCGTATACAGCCTTTTCGACACGGCATCGATCCCTTTAAAACAATACTGTAAAGATAAATTTAATAAGGATTATAACATTTGTTCATTTTTGTGATAAATAAGAATCCCCAAATCTTAATACGCCAATTATAGATTCACTTTAAGAATTATCTGCTTTGCAGATTAAATCTTTAGTTTGTAGATTTATTATTATTTTCATAACTATGAAGCTGATTTACAAGACAGTTTCAGATAGACAATTGTAAAGAAAGGCCCAGCTGTTGAACCATGTTACAAAATGGTAATTTGCATGGCTATCCAGATTGCATTTTGTATCTTGATAAATTATCTTGTTCACTGCAAGACTTCAATAAATGCATCTATTTTGTATAAGATATTTTGACGACAATTATTATTAGTTAGAATACCAATCATCAGGCTGTTTCCTTTTTAAGGCTCTCTTACCACCTACGTATTCACGATCGAAGCAATCATTGGAGCAAGAGTGAAAATCTTAAAAAGCAAAGAATTTTCATGCAGGACAACTGATGGAAGTGAGTAAAAAACATTGCAGCTTCATGTCAAATTTTCACTTTCCAAACTGACAGAATCACAGAAATATACACATTTACAAATGCAAGTCGAGATTTCTGCATGTCAACTAATCTCAAATCTTTTTATTTGGATATTCAAAGCATTTTACTAGATACGCAAAGCTAAATATAATTTGTTTGCAATGTTCAAGGACCTGCAAGTTTCGAAAGCATTGATGTGCCCATATGACGTCACAGTCTTAATTTCATTACGATGGTAGTCAGAAAGGACGATCTTTGCTTAGAAAAATCTTAAATAAAGCATCATGAAAATGATATTGTTTTGTTTCCTTTTAAAAATTACTAATCGTCTTCATAATTCCATTTAGTCCCAAATCCACCGAAGCTCTCAGTTGGTGAAAAAACTTCAACATCAATTGAGGCAATTTTCAAAACACCATCACCAACAAACGGATCTATCTTTGCATACTCGGTGAGCCGTTCGATCTTAATCTGCTTTTGGTTTGCAATAGTTTTTCAAATTCTTTTAACGTTTTCTATCCTCATTGTTTTATTTATACTGTTTTTCTTTTAAAGATGATTCGGTTGCAAATCTAGCTTCTAACTTCCTAGTTCTACAAGAAATGTTTTTAATTTTCTTTACCCTTTTCATAGATACAAATACTGAGATTTTATATTTTTAAAGATATATATTTTTACTCTGTTTTCGAAACACTGTTTAGGCAACCTACAGAGACAATAATTACTTTGAAGACTTTAATGAAAGCACAATTGAATGAAGTAAGCTCAGTAAAATTGAAGGGAACCAAATTATTTACTGCCAATGTTTTGCGCACTTTCTTAGAGTCCTATACTGCTCAAAAGAGTGTTTGTAGAATCACGCCGAGCTTTAAAATGCATCAAATTCATAGATGTTCAATGAATGACAGGTCATTGTTTTAGGCACATCCTAAAGCAGACCTGGGCTTCTTACGGCCCGTGGGCCACATCCCCCGTGAGTGTGTTTTCAATCAGACCATGAACTTTTGTAGGGGTATTTTTCACATTGGTCTACACCACAATTTCAAATGATTATTAGAATATATACGTAATATTTATGCCTTCCTGATAACCAGTTGCAACTAAAATATAGCGTAATTTATTAAAATGGCATAAAATCATAAGCTTTAAAATGCATCTTTGAAAAGGACAAATTCACAGATTTCCAATGAATATAAGGACACTGCTGTAGGTACATTCTAAACTTTAAGACTTGAAAGTTTTTAATGGCGTGTAACTCCAATGTTATGCAGGCGCAAACATAGACTATTTCAGGCTAAGAGTAAGCATTCGATATATCAAGGAATTTTGATCGCCTTTCGTGGTCATATTACGAAAGCATTGCAAACTTTGGCCACATCATCACGACAGCATGCTTGTTAATTGAGTTCCAGACCTTAGGAGGAATTCAAGCGTGTAATACGATTGCACTTATCCACTTAATGGCATTGAAATCTCATGTTGGCAAACATTTTAAAAGAAGCTATTGGTATAATGAAAAATGGGTTATAAAGGAGCATAAAAGTGAGAATAATTTGTTGAATTAAGTGAAATATTGTAGCCATTTGACTTTTAAAAACATAGCACCTTCAGGAAATTTTGCATGCCTATATCATGAAACATATACCACAAAAAATGCAGAAAAAGATTGACCAACTCGGAAACGAAAGCTCACAGGAGATGTTTTCTCATATCGCTTCAGAGCATTTAATCAAAAACTATTATATACCATAATATATCATATTAGCGAGAGTTCAGTTCTCATTCTTCTCAAGACACCTTTTTATATAATTTTCTTCGTCTTATAGTTTGAGATTGGCTTATAACCATAAGAGCCACGAATGCTCCTACCACAGAATACATAATGGAATTTGAATATAACGTCATCGATTTTAACTGCGCATGTGCATATAAAGCAAAATTTTGAAAGCTACCGTTCATTCGAACAAATGCTGGCTCGTCTCTGAGGTTGTTTATTTCTTGCATGTTAGATTATCTATCAACTGCACCTGTTTGATGCCTTTCTCTGTTGATGATTGCAATCAAAGTCGAGGATTTGTTTTGTAATATAATCTGCAGGAATGAATTTTTATTGAAAATAACTAACATTTTTAAATCATATCTTTAGTAAACCAATTCATTGGGAAGCGAAGCGTGAGCTCCTAAGAAATAATAATTGCATGGAAGGAATGACTAGGGCTACTTGAACTCCGTCCGAACTTGCCAGTCACTGAATTTAAGCGACGTTCTTGTATTTGAATGTCCTTTTATTTTCAAATTATTTCGGCCTGTTAGCCCCTTAGTTAGAGAAAAACTTATTAACAGGAAGCCAAAAAACGAATAAAAGGAAGCTAAAGATATAACAATATAATGCATAAGATTAAGAAAAAGTAAAATTATTAGAGTTTTTGTAAAAAGTACCGCAATTTATGCTTTAGGGATTTCAGCCCTTGCTAGAATTTCTTTGATGTTGGTGCTCTTTTCATTGTATCGTTTAACCCACTTCAGAAATTGGCCCTTCTAGCTTACAAGTAACAAACAGAGAAAACTGCCAAAATCTCTTTGAGTTGTTTTAGGTGAAGTGTAATGTTCTGCATTCATTGCGATTTTGACGAGGACGTTGATGATCTCCTTGACAGTTAGAGATCCTTAAAACGTTAAAGCTTTTTTCCTTAGAAATATTTTGTGTCCCTCTACATCTAAGGCCTACGGTGCTGCAATGACACCCTTTCTCTCCTTAATTGTTGTCAACACGATCTTAGCTAAGATTAAAGCGTATAGCATTTTATATGATGCAGTCATTTTTTGGACATGAAGAAGGTCTTAGGAAATTTCATCTTTTAATGTAACAATTTCACCTCCATTAAACTATAATTGCCAGATAATGTGTTTTTAATTCCGTATAACTTAGTAAGGACAGCTTTGGCCTCTAAACGATCCACAAAAATATCATTTACATTTTCCAAGTAAATTTAGAATAAAAACCTAGTCATAATACAAAATTTTAATTCACTCGCTTTAGCCTATTTTGTCATCACATTAAAGTATGATTATGCTGGAGACAATTTCAAATGGTTTTATTAGGTAGAGACAATACAATGCAAAGCAAAAGAATTTTTAATAACTTTCTGGTTTGTTACTTAAATTTTCTGGAATCTTCTTACGATGCACAGCAAGATAAAACAGTATGATCCATCTTATGGTTTATAAATCATAAAAAGAGAAGTTTTAGTTCCCTTGTTGCCAAGCCTACTTCATAAACTGACCCGGAATCCTGTCAATGTTTGTAGAAACCAGTAAAATGTTTGAAAACACACTTCATGGCGACGCTCTTATTGGTTGAGTTTCATTTCTAAAGTTTAAACAATAAGCTTTATGAGCTACGCGAATTACCATTATGTTTTATATTTGAATGAATATTTTGCGCTCAATGCAGATACAAAGTCATAAATTGCCATTCAAATGGAGTATTAAACTGTCATTCATTTGAAACTTACTGTATTACCGATCTGTCATAAAGTGCTCCATAACATTTAGACAGAGCTGAACACGCATTTTGTGCAAAAAAGGAAGGTTTTAATTTAAGTCAAATAGTATAAAGCTGATCTGGTTGACTGGTTGTTTTTACTAATCAGATTTTCACCGTTCATGAAAGATTTTTTCTCCTCCCTTCCATATATGATTAGTCCATTAAATCACACTCAGATTGCCTCTTTTTAATATCAATCATAGAATAGAATATACGAATTTCCAATCTTCTTTCTTTTACGCTGACAACATGAAGCAAAATCGATCAGTGTTTTTTGATTAACATTATTTTTGTTACAGATGTTAGTGAAAGAAAATTCATCCAGCACTACGAAGCACAAATTTAGGTGGAATGCAAAGGAGCAATTGCCTGGCACTAACCAAGTTTTCAAAATAAACGTCACCAAGCTCACCCCGAGCACTGTGTATGCGATTGAAGTGCGTGCAATCAGTGAGCTAGGAGAAAGTTTGCCAGCTATCATTATTGCAAACACCGAGGGTATTTAATTTTGTATATAATTTATTGTTTTTATCAAGATATACGCATGTAAACGGGGTATAGAGGGCCTCTTGATGAGCTCCTACTAAGGTTGGAATATCGGGAGTGGCGAGAGAAAATTTAGCACCCATAGCAAAAGATTTTGAAAAAGCTCTTTTAATTTTCAAAAAAGTAGGGGGCATGCCCGTTCGTCAGAGGTATGTAAAATGCACTTACTTATACTTATAGATAAAGGGGTATGTAAAAATTCTTGCATAAATTGCCCAGCTGTCTACATAATAACCAGAGCTAAACATTAAAACCCAAGACCAATAGTGCGCAAAGGCTGCATAAATAATTAGTTACGTTTAAGCCAGACAACCTAAGGCGTTGCAATTTTGCAGCAGTGTGCTTTCTATTTGATGTTTACGCGATATCGTATTCAGTTTTTTACGCATTGCATAACAAAAGAGTAGCCACTTTACATAGATCCAGATCGAAATTTAATCATATTTATTCGTTTACACTAAAAAGTTTTATTTTGTACGGTATTGGTAAACATTATTTCGTGTAAACTTACTCTGTACCGTACTAGTTTGAGTATAGTATCGTATAAACAGTTCTACAGGACATTTCGTACATGACATTTCGTACATGACATTTGTACATGGCATTTCGTATATGACATTTCGTACATGAAATTTCGTACATGACATTTCGTACATGTCATTTCGTACATGACGTTTCGTACATGACACTTCTGTCCTGGAGCAAACGTTTTAAGATTCTTTGACGATTTTTTTAAAAAAACATTTTCACTTTAAACACTAAAGTATGCTCAACATAACAAAAAAGAACTGTTCCAACATAACGTCATTTATCTCTTAAACTAAATATTTATTATTACTTACTTCTTTTCTTTTCTGCAGGCATTGCTCTTCCAAAGAATTGCATCAGTGTTCTACCTTTAGCTGGTGGCAAAATGCGTGTCACGTGGAAATTAGTGGCGAACGCCGTATCCTACAAGGTCTACCTCCAGGAAAATAGTGAGATAAAAAAGCCCGTAGATGTATTTTCAAACTCAACCGAACTAGTCTCGTTGAAGCCGATAACAGAATACGCTATTGACATCCGTCCTGTCTTCAAATGGGGCTTAGGGCCTGGTCTTGCAGCGAAATTTCATTTTGTAACGCCAGGTATGTTTTGTGATTAATTTATGAAACTAGAGATTAGAATATATACCAAATTTTTGTTTACTAAAACATTGAAATTTCAAAATGTCCTCCAGTTCACAGCTCATAGTATTTCAGTCAAAGTTCATTGAAATTTAGAGTAAGTAAATGCTACCGAATATCGTTGGAAAGTGCAAAGACTATGAAATTGAATCTTTTTAGATCACGATTGGAGGCCAAAATACATTACAGCAGCTTCGATCGCCTGGGACAAAATTTATGTTCGGTGGACCGCCTCGACGATGCAAAATGTCAACTACGTTGTCTATCTGCGGAATAAACAAGGACTAAAGCATTCAGTTGAGACGAAGAATAATTACGTAATCTTTGAATCCTTGAAGCCTTTAACGATATACACTGTTGATATCCAGGTCAAATTTTTATGGGGACTGGGACGTAGAGTGAACGGAAGCACCAGTGTCAAAACGAAAGGTTTGTTCATGCAAATTATCTTAAAAGCATATTTAGCAAATGTCACTGCTTTTGTTACGGTTGAATACTGTCTGCAATTTATGGCTTACTTGATAACGCTGTATACGATCGCTTCTATCTATACCTAAGATAAAAGTGGATGATTTTGTTTATTCAAATTTATCTCGAATGCACATGATGCAGCACAGGGAAAAAATCTTAGGATGGCCCCAAAGGTTCTGCCAATTTGTCTGCATGCTTTCTAATCCTTAGTAGCATTTCAATGCAATATAAAACACTATTAAACGACTGCGGATTTATCTCTAAAAGCAATAACTTTGCTTCGACCATGTTTCATTTGCTTGAATGTGATGACACCAAAAGTCCATTTATTCATCTCAGTTTGATCAATCGAATTATTTTACTTGTTTAAATATTGTTAAAATATTGTTTAAAAATTTTACTTTTTTCACGAATCTGATGTTCTTATAGAAGACAGTTCCAATCAAACATATCTCAAGTTTGAAAAGATTCATCTCAACATACAAGTAACTAGAAATTCCATCTCTTTGTAATTTATATCCTATTGTTTAGATCTCGATGAATGCAACCAAAGATCTACAAACAGGTGTGACAAAAACGCTGATTGTTTCAACACAGAAGGATCGTATCTTTGCCAGTGTGAAAAAGGTTTCGTTGGCGACGGATATTTGTGCAGACGTAAGCAGAATATCACTGTTCGTTTTTGCGTTATTTTAATCTCAATCTTTTTCTATAAATTTTGACGAATTACGTCAGATCTTGTCTACCCTTGTGGTTGGTGTTCCCCCATAACTGATGCACCCTCTCAAGATGTGTCCCTTCCTTAATAAAAATGTTGTTGATTTTGCAAAATAAGTTGGTAGTGCAAATATATGTTGTTTGCATTAATCCTGGTTGCTGGAAAATTGGAAAATGATGGAGAGAGAGCTAAAAAAAATTTCGAATTGCAAGAAACAATTTTGCAAGTTGTTTTAATTAATAGCGTGTTTCTTTTTCACCACCACTTACAGAATCCCAAATAATATCCATAAAAAATTTTAGCTGAAGAAGGAGAAGAAACAATCAACTCTTAGCATGAATGTCATAGTTCATTTTTTCAATTTCATTTGCCTTGTACCTTTTAGCCACTCCACAAGATGCCAAAAAGACAGACTTCTGTGCAGAAAACTCGTTCCGTGACGTTCAGTGGCCAAGGCTTTTCAAACATGGAACTGCTGTGAGAATGTGTCCAAATGGAACAGTCGGCTTTGCTTCTAGAAAATGTCTCTACAGTGTGACATCCCAGCAGGCTGTCTACGATCTTCCAAACTTGAGTGATTGTGTTTCGAAAGACGTAATGGAGTTGGGATTGCTAGTATGTTTAAAGCATTTTGCCTTTTATCATTCTGTTTTTAAATATTTGTTCAGTGATGTTGGCCATAATATTAAAGCCTTCGCTCCAACCCTGTCCTTTCTTTAACTGCGTAATAGTTTTGATGCTGTTTTTGCATTTTTGCTCTTGTTTTTGTTTAGTTATGTACTTTAACTTGAAGTTTCATTTTAGTTGCCCTGTTTCTATTGCCTCTTATTGATTTGCGAAGGAATCTTGTCTTATGAAGTAGCAAATAACCTACTTGTCGCTTGTATATGATCCCTACCTGCGACATGCCTATCAACTACTTTGAAAAGGAATGTTCATTTCAAGTTTTCTTTAAGTTTTATTTCTTAACAGCTCAAAGGAAACTTTCATTTTAAAATGAATTGTATGTAAATACTGTTCTAGAGGTACGAAACTTCAGGGTTGTGTAGTTCCACAATGTCATGTCAAAATGCAATGTTTCGTTAAATTCTAATCTAACTTAAAGCATTTTTTTAGATAGAATGACACCACGGCATTTAAACAGGCTGATTGTTGACTTTCCAGGTCGAAAATTCCAGTGTTAATGCAGTGACGGTAGGGGACCAGTTAAAGAAAGTTACGACAAGAAAAAAGCTGTATGGAGGTGACGTCAAAAGAACAGCTTCTTACTACCAGAAAACCATAAGGGACAAACTAAAAGAAGATTCGATGGTTGATATTATGGGACAGGTAAAGAAAATTTGGATTTTTCTTCTTATTTGTAATGACACCTTTTTTAGGCTGGCAAGCAAAATAACGAAAGTTTGTATATTTGCTGGGTTAAAATTCCTGCAAAGAAGAACGTAAGAGTTTTAAAAATAAAGACGGTATTTCTTTGGTCAAGCACTCTGTCTTTGAAAACCGATTTCAGACTGACAAGGTTTTTATCCTAAAAGTTATTTTCCCCTTAAGAATGCTTGCGTCACTGACACAGTTGATCTTCTAAATGCAGCTTTTAAATAAAAACCTTATTTAAAATCTTTTAGTCTTGCAAATCTCATATGCAAGACCAAAAGGCAAGACCCAAAAGCAGCTTTTGAATAATAAGGTTGTCTTTGCTGGTATTTGCTGTAGTTGTGTCGATCTCTTAACAAACCTCAAATTCATGAAGATTTACATTTCTTGTTATTATTGATTTGTCACGCCTTTGGTGTCTGGCAGGTTTCTGATAGAGGGTCTACTTCCTGAGGCCCCTTTTTCTGGTATTTAAACCATTTACATTGAAAACCCGTCTATCACCGTACTTGTATCATGCGTAGGTCATTGAATCTTTGTAAATATATGTATATTGGTAATTTTGATGTCAGTTTTTTGCACTGCAGCCTCTGCTTGATGTAGCCAGCAACCTCCTAAACAGATCAGTTGTTGCAGCTTGGAAAGATCTAACACAGGTATGTTCATGAGTGCAATTCATTTTTATTTATTTTAGGAAGTGTCATATATATACGCCTGTTTTCTTTTAGTATTTTCATTGTATTTTAGCATTAACAGGTTCATTGGATATTCAATGTCTTTTCACGTTTTTCTAATCGTCAAAAATGTTATAGCCTTTTCGTACATTAAAACGATAAAACAGGGCAACAGGGCAGAGAAATGTCATTAGTAATAGAAGTACTTCGAGAAGTGTTGAACAAAAATGATACTTAATTTGGACTTGGGGTTGCCAAACTCGGGATAGCAATTGTCCTGTTCTATACAACAAATAGCGTGTACAGCACTGTCTTTACGTCATCGAGAACTTTGTGAGAGGCTGGTAAACAGTTATTTTCATGAAATAGATCTTATGCTTCCGCTATTTCGTGTTATTCTTTTAACGTCTTTATGGAAAACAGGTAAGATCGTTACACATAAGAAGGAAAGTACTTGTTGAAGAAGTTACTTGATCTGTGTCTTTTGATAACCTCTGAACGATATAAGCTACGGACATTGTAATTTTTCAAAATAGGAGTTTTTATATGTTTACTGGATAAAGCTTGAAAATTTTCAGTTCCCTCCAATATTTTTAGACAAAAAGTCAAAAAGATGCATCAGAAAAGATTTTGTTTTCATTTAAAGCGTGGAGAGGTTTTACCCTAACTGATTCATATGGTTTGTTTTTAGGCTGGTAGATCCGAAGGGGCGAGCTCACTGTTTGAAGGCTTGGAAAAACTTGCTGAAAAGATCTCAAATGGTTTTACGAATTCATCATTTAGAGAGGGTTTCACGACTCCAAATGTCGGTAAGTACCGCAGTCGGCCTCTCAATTGTGATCGAGACTTTTTTCTTTAAAATTTTTCATACTGATAACGCTATTTATATATAACTTCAGTTTTAAAGAGTAACTTATTGATAACGCCTTTGAAAAAAGCAAACATTTGAGTATACTGAAGCTACCTCAGCAGTCATGTGCTCGTGTTTCTGACTGGCCTATTTCGATCCACAACTGGGTGTATATATTTCCTAGCGTGGAGTTTTCGGTCTATGTTCTGATGTTTTATACTCTGAAGAGTGACAGACGATAAGCTCAAATGTTTGCTTTTTTCAAAGCCATTTTTAATTTTGTACCACTGAAAGAGCAACTTACTCTTAACCATCCCCATACCATACACACACACAATGATATGCTACCTTCCCCTATTTTTTTAGCAGTATTGTTGGCCAAATCCAGCTCTCATTTCCTCTCCAAAATGAAGACGCGAATTCCCGCCACAGTTGATGATTAAATCCTTCGTTTTACAAAATGTTTTGATCAACAGCTATGTAGCATTCGTTTCTAGAAACATCATTTAGAAATGGCATCACATTTGTTTATTTCAGGAATGCAGATACAAAGAGTTGGCAAACCTAACGAGGCACTGAATTATAACGAAGCACATCCAAATGCTGTGAATCAAAGGAGGACGCAGCCAAAAATATCACTACCCACGAACGAGATCTTATCTCAGAAAGGTTTCTTTCATACTACAGCTTACATTATTTCTTCTTTAATCCTTTCTTTGCCCTTTTTTGTAGATTTATATATTCTATTTGTAGAAAAACATATTTCAGTAGTACGTTAGCCACAAACAGATGTAAAGCTTCCGTTTCATCGTTAAGACTTTTTTCAAGCATACAGATCCTTAAATTGTACAACCTTTCGTGACGCAAATGCATTATTTAATCGAAGTTGTGGATGGACTGTTCAGTTAATAAGTCTTTTGTTATTGAGTCTCCTTCTATCTTTGCCTCATCATATTGAACATTTTCAATCTCCCTCTTATAAATTTAACGCTGATTTCCCCTTGTAATTTGGTGCGGTTGATAATCTTAGAGTCACCTTTATCGTTTGTTTATGACATTTGTTTTTCCTGTAATGATGGCAAAATCATTTCTGTTCCTTTTTTGCTTCAGGTGGAAGGCCAACAGATGTCATATTCATCTCTTATCAAAATGTGGACAGAATTTTGGGCATAGACAAGTAAGAGATTTTGATTCAGACTTTTGGGCAAGACAAATGAGAAAATTTTGCTTGCTAACAGCAATCCGATTTCCCACACCAAAAAACAATCACTTGTAGTTATCAGTGTGTGTCCAGTGGAAACTAAAATGATTTTTGTGCTGCTTTAAAAGGGACAAAATGAACAAATTACAATGTAGATAATATTACAGGCAGTTCTCTATTATGAAAGTCGAATATTCTTAATGACAGAGATTCAGGTTACTAGGCGATCATTCTCATCCAATAGAAAGATTCAGGTGATAACAATTGTTGTTGTTAGAAATAATTCATGAATCTTTTTGTTTATTTTATTGAACATAGCTTTTTGCAATTTCGCGCAAGTCTTTTAACCCACACAGGTTTCAACTAATTTAATTTTGTTTTAGGAAACCAAACGAACAGGACAAAGGATCCGTGGATGTTCTGAACTCCAAAGTTGTCTCTGCTTCGATTGTTGGTGCAAAGAAAACAACTTTTGCGTCACCGGTGGTCCTTGTTCTGCCCCATCTGAATGTTAGTAACATCCTTGCCGGCTTATTTCCTCTTTGCTTCCCAACATGAGAATTGTATTTGTTAATCCCTACAATTGTATCATTGTTCTAATTCAAGTTTTATATGCTAACCTCATTACTAAGTAGATCTGATGAAGCTTTATATACCTGGGCAAAATATAAGTGATAAGTTCCTATATTGTCGTTTTTGCTTCTTCACAAGGCGTTGCGGTGTTATTTGCCACCTTCTTTTTTCTTTTCATATTGGGTACTAGAATTTCACTAATAGAGAGATCTACTCTTTTTTAGTGGGTGTTTCCTTGATGTCATTGTTTCGGGGTTTTTGTCAGCAACGTAAACTAAATACGGTCAAACTGAAACTTTCAAGTATTTTTTCGCAATATAACATTTCAAGATTTCGTGTAAAATTAAAATAAAGTTTTTCATTATTCCTTCAATTTTAAAGTCTGTGTTTTTACAAAAATTTGATTTTTTCTTTAGAAACAAAACGTTATCAACACATCTTGTGTTTTCTGGAACATCTCCACCAAGTAAGTTGAAGTATTTTGGCCTCTTTCCGAATTTCTAGGAATTTATCTTTCTGTCACCAAAGCTACATCTTAGTCGACCTTCGTCAGACAAGATCAATTTATTTGCATATGGGCCAACTTCCATGTGTTCTTGTACCACCCTGTACTTTATTCGATTTAAGAGTTTGAGTTTGTCAATCTTCTACTATTATTACGATTTTATACCATAATAAAATGCTTTTAAAACACTACTTACGAACATTTAAATTTTATTGTTTCCTGGACAATCAAATGTTTTTTATTATCATAAACATTACTGCATTACTGATGATTTAAAGAATGTTATTTTTTTATTGAGTAGTATTCTGAATTTAAATTTTCCTGTGATCGTACATTTCATCAATTGGCATCTTTTATACTTGCCTCTCTCTTTAATTGAAGTCCTGAAAGCAAATGGTTGGATACCGGCTGTTACGTCAACTCAACCAGCTCAAACGAAACTGTTTGTCACTGTTACCATCTGACGAATTTTGCAGTATTGATGACTGTGTCCACAGTGCCTGCTTTAGCAGAGGTAATGTCAGCATCATCCCATCTGAATAAGAAGCCAAGCTTTCAGCAAAAAATGCTCATTTTTTTAAAATAAAGTGACGTGTTTAAGTTCATTTCGCTTTTCTATCAAGTTGTCTTTTTAAATTTCTCAACTTTTTCGTCAACAAATTTTTAATGGAATATCCTCAACTTGCTATAGCATGTGAACATAAAACTGCTATAATTCATTACCATTATGATCGCTATCAACAAGTTCTTTCGAAACTTTTCCGAGCTAATAAAACTGGCCTAAAGTTCAAGTCAAAATTCGTCATTTTTCGAAAGATCTAATTTAGCCATCCATTTTACCCTGGGAACAATGTTTCTTTTCAATAAAACAAAAATGATATTATATACAGAGTGGGTTTTTGCGTGTGTCTTTTATGATATAGGGGAAAGAAATGAAAAGCACTAGGCTACAACGACAATTGTCCTATCTTCCAAGCAAATTCGCTATTTTTTCATAGTACAATTTTGCTTTAAACTCCTAGTTATAATTTTGACAGGACAATGCAGAATACGAGGATGTCCTTACTGAACTATACATTTTTGCCAATCATATCTTTGTGACTGTAGAAAAGTTTTGAATTTCATGATTTGTTATCACACTGCTAATTTCTTTTATAGGTGCGTGGTCATGGATTTGCTTTACGGGTCATCACAATAATCGGGCTTACAATTTCACTCATTGCAATGTCCATTGCTTTCTTGACATTCTGTTGCTTTCGGTAGGTAGATGTTTCACTGCGTTGAGGGTTTTGTTAAGCTTCCCTGGGGTGACGAACAAGCGAAGTTACACTGAAATTCAATGACCCTTTTCTAAGTCATCCCAATTCTAACTGTCAGATGACATTCCCAGTACATATGCTTTGTAACGAGGTATCGCTCATTCTTAAAGGACCCTCACATTCCATAGATTTCTTTTCATCTAGACTGTGGCATCGCTTTGGTTTGTAGAGAGGGGTCTTGCATTCGATATTTATATAAGTCTTTATTGCTGCTAAATAATCAGTTGCTATTAGCAATGCTGTTGATGCAAAGGATTTTCTTGACAATGGAACAACCGACATAGGATCCTCTTGTTTTTGGGAAGCCTAGCTGTAGGAAGCATCTTCAAATTAGCCTAACTATACCTAAACAATAGAGTTATCTCTCTGCCCCTGTTTTAACAATTTTGTAATAAGGAGATAAATTTTCTCGTTTTTTTATTTATTGTTCAGATGCCGATTGATAAAACAGATTAAACGTTTCTGTATAATTAGAATCAATTTTTAATTATTTATTGCAGATTTCTTCGCGGTCCACGAACAACATACCATAGACACCTCGTTGCTTCTCTTATTTTGGCAAACCTTCTTTTCCTGTTTGGAGTCGACAAGACAGAGAACAAGGTACAGCCTTTACCCTCTACACCAGCACTTCCAAAGCGTATTTCGATAAAACGCGGGACAACCCGATGTACTCTTCTCCAGCCATGTTTAAGGGAGATATTAGACATGCTCTAAAGATTCAAATCCAATAAAATAGCCTTCAACAGTTAACTTTAATTTTGTATTTTTCTTTCTTTAAACCCTCATTGAACACTTGAAAAATTTTCGATGATTCTTAAGACTTCGATTAACTTGCCTTCCTTTTAGATGGCATGCTCGGTGATAGCCGTATTCCTTCACTACTTCTTCGTCGTTGCCTTTGTGTGGATGGCAATGGAAGGCATTCTTCTCTACTTTATGCTAAAGAAAATATTCAGCAGCAGAAACTTCCTTAAAAGAAAAAGATGCCTGGTATTATGTTGGGGTAAGAAATCGAGGATGTTTTAAGCATATTTCAAACCTAAAGATAACTAAAAGAATCAAGGTTTTAGGCAGGGTTCACAAGTATAAATCAATAGCATGTATTTCACATCGAGTTTGTTCTAGTGAAAGACTGCGCAGCTGATATACTCAATTTATTGACAATTGTATACGATGCTTTTTGGCTTATCATTAAAAACTTTTTCAACATTAATACTGACAAAGGTATATCATGTTGTTAGGCCTCTTACCTGTATTGGTTTTCCCTTGCCATGTAATCTCATGACTGATCTTTGGTTTTTTCCCTCCATCAGTACTTCCTGCTATATACGTCGCTCTCCTCGCAAGTTTGAAGATCGAACATTACGGAAGTAGCAACTTGTAAGTTACAATTCTTTATCAAATATCTAGAGTTTGTTCTCGTAATTTCTGTTGTCATTGACATATATTGTAAATTGAAATTAATTTTCCTTTTCTATAGATCTGATACTTTTTTCTGATATCCTCTATAGTGATGACATTTAGTGATAGGTCTTTAAAAAGCATTGTTGGAGGCTTCCAAAAAGTTCATTTTTTTCTATTACTGAAAAATGTTAATAAGTCTACTGCTGTGTTCTCAATACATAATATCATTTGTTTTCCAAACATAATACTTTGATGTTTTAAGTGTTATATTTCTACCTTATAAATATATTTAGGCTGCTTTAATAATGATCATATTGTAATCAAAAGTACTATTTTACGAGTATAAGCAACCACAACACATCTACATTGTGCACACTTTCAACCGTCAAACTATTGCTGGAACAGCTTATCGATCTATGCTTCCGTACTAATAATACATTGGTATGTTCTTCAGTTGCTGGATTTCACGTAGAGAAGGCTTCATCTGGAGTTTCGTTGCACCCGTCAGCCTTGCTTTGTTGGTAAGTAACAGATATTCATGAAATTCCTGATAATTTTCTGCCATAGACACTCTCTCTTTGAACACTGCAATACACCGGCATCATTTCCATGTTCATAAAAACAGCTTCTTACAATGCCCTGTAGACATACAGTTCATGTCAACAAGAGTTAGTCAGTCATTTTTGGAACTTGACGCCGGACGCCGATTGGCTCATTAACAATAGCCTTATGTATCATTCATCCAATGACAATTTTTGGTGATCATCGAAATTCATAGGATGTTTGGTTGTATATCATTAGATTTGCTATTTTCAATGAGACCGTAATCCATGTACAAATGTCTTTCAGGTCAACTTCACTGTCATGGGCTTCGCATTTCAAGTTATGGCAGACAAGCGTAGCAAGGGGCCGGATGACGGTACTATCTCTGATGTATGGTGGGTGTCAGTTAAATCCTTTTTATTCTTTAAGCTTTTTTGCGTGTTTTTTGTGACCACAAAAACGGACTCTCACTTGAGCAGTTAAGATCAGGCGTGCAGAGCGACCAGAGAGATGGAGGAGGGCTGTGGAGAGCTTGCGCACAATTTAAGTATGCCCCTTTACTAACTAGCATAGCGATCGCGTTGACTTCTTTGCCAGAACATTGCACTTTACCACAATGTTTTTCAAACAATCCCCTATTTTACTTGTGCCATTTATATTCTCAGCGAGTTTGTTAGAAAGGTTATTTTTTTCTGAATTCTTGCTGCTTCTATTTTCAACGTCTTTAAGTTGGTTCACAAAAAGCTTTTTAAGACAACGTTCTCTAAGAATACGTACTTAGAATTTACTCACTGTAGCAGGACCAAACCCCTCGTTGTATTTTCGTTGCATTGAAAATGCTTCTTACAGCAGCTGAAGTTGTTATTTATTTAGTATGCCAAAACTTTTCCTTAAAGATGTGCTTTGACATTAGAGTTTGGATTTTCCATCCTAACTTCTGTACTCACAATTCATCTTGATAAATTTAATCAATGTGTTGGCATATGCAGCAGGGGGTCGTCATAAATGTTCAATGAAAGTTGTGACAACTCCCTTTCTGAACCGTCTCCTTCACTCTCCTTACACTTTTATTCCAGGTATTGGCTCAAAGGCTGTCTTGTCCTCACCTGTCTACTTGGTGTAACCTGGCTTGTTGGAGTCTTTTACATCGACTCAAACACTGTTGCTTTTGCGTACATATTCACCATACTCAACGCTTTGCAGGTACACTTTTAAAGAACTTTGAACTTTAATGATACAAAGATAGATTTAGAAGATTGCACAAAGATTTAGAAGAATGCACAAACAATTAGATGTTTGATGGATGACAGCTAGCATTGCGATATTTCCTCATTATGAATTGAACCATTGGAATAGTCACAGCTAAGCATATTTCTTACCGGAAATGCAAAATCAAATCAGTAAAATGTATTGCTATAAAACGATATCGCTTACCTTTCTTTCAATAAAATGGTAATTGCTATCTATTTCAACATAAGGAGGTCCTAGCATGCGATGACTCGCTCACTGCATAGCTCACACGAGCAATTAGTAGTAGAAGTTCGTTTGAAACTGTTCGCCATTCTCCCAATTTTATGCTTTGTTTTATTTTAGGGCCTGTTTATATTCATCTTCCACTGCCTGATCGACTCAAGGGTGAGTGTTGGATACAAAGTATGCTTGAATTCACATACGTCATTTTAATTATCACTGTATTTTGCAGACTACATGTTTCTTACAGAGGGCTATACAATCAATATAGAATAGTTCTATGTTGTTCTATTTTGCAATACGGTTTTATTATCAAACAAAAATCTTATCAAAGAGAAGGGATTAATGAGGAGGTTATTGGTTTTATCCAGGCTACTAAAAGGCATAAAATGAATAAAATCCTGAAATGGCTTTCATATTTTTTCAAAACTCATAGCCAATCCTGCTAACCCAGATTTTTATACTATCAAGCAAATTATTTGCTTTCAGCTGTTAGATATCATATCTTTATGCTGTTAAAACTGGTCATAGTTTTTATCAACGACTGTTGCAATATTTGTAATTTGGTATTTCCAGGTACGAAGTGAGTACATGCGGCTTATTAAGTGCCAGAAGAGGTATGAATATAACGAGAAAGCTGGCTACTCGTCTTCTATGAAAATGAGGAAGTTGAGCGGAAGTATAAAGTCTTTTGGGTCACTGGACCGATCTTTATCGCACAGCTCAGCCAAAAGAACGCTTTCAAACTCCTTAGACAGATCTCTTCTCCGACAGGTATGTATTTCGATTGATCCGCTTGCTCTATTCCAAGCCAGTCCTATTGATCACTTCTATCACAAACCTACTCTGCAAATGATTTTTAACTTTATTAAACTTGTAATCAGAGGTTTTCTGGTCAAAATAAAGATTCTATCATGAAGGGAATATTTCTTACAATGTGATTTTACAAATGTATAAAATCGGTTTGATCCTACAAATAAGCTTGAGGGATTCCAAACCTCACCTTAGCCTGTTCTGGAGTGAGAATAACGTTTGATGCAGATATCATGTCAGTTCGTTGAAACTAAAATAATTGAAAAGTTGTAAGAATTTTGGAATTACAGTTGCAAGCTAAGGCTTAAATTAAACAAAGTTATAAATCTTTCAGAAAAGCGAACATTTTGAAACATGCTACGAAAGCTTTTCGTCTGACACTCTTCAGTGTATAAAACGTCAGAACAAAAATCGAAAACTATTATTAAATTATGTACCACAAAAAGATTGTTTGCAAACGAATATTTATTTCCCTTGCTTTGAAAATGACATGCTTCCTTGCAGCACAATGGCAGCCTCAGTGAATATGCAAGATTAACAATGCAAAGATGTAAGTACCTTTTGCTGTGTTTGAATTTATTTGGTATTCAACATTGAAAGCATTAAATGGACATATCAGGAATCATCATTGATAGAAACAATTTTCGAATATATTGATATATGATTTCTTTAAGTTTTTTCAAGATGAACATACTTTTTAGAGTGTTCCTGGATCTATTTAAAATCATAAAAGTGTATTTTATTACTGTTTATTGCCTCCAAGTTTATTGTGTGTTAGAATATTTTGCAAAAAGCAAAATCAGCGGCTAGTAATATAAGTTTATTTTGCAAATCAGACTTTCCTTCATTTCGTGTGCTGCAAAATTGTTACTGCCCGCTGGTTTGAAGGGATTGCCCAACCGAGTGATGTAAAGGGGAAGCTGTAGCTCATTTAGACAAAACTGCCCCTTTATCTAAGTTTCATTAAACTGTAAAAACTTCTGTTGAACCACGATATCTTTTTGGAAGGTTTGCAAAGTTTTTGTACAAAACACAGACAAATTAGACATGACTTAATTCGTTGTAATGCGAACTGGACATTTCAATGTAGACATGGCATTGTCATTCGTCGACTTACTTTTTTACGACGGCGCCTTGGCGATAAGATCTAAGACTGATAAAGTCCGGCTTTTGTCCACTCGCCTTCATTTAACCCAGCGCATAACATTATGTACCACTCGGTGAATACGCATCACTGCGCGATTTTTGCACCAGCCTTTCACGCTATGTCAAAGAGCAACGAAAGATTAATGGGAAATAGCACTTCTTTTTTAAATCGAAAAGGCAACAGATTTTTTTTAAAGAAATATTTCAAGAAGATTTCGTGACTTTTACAACAGTGTTGTTTTGGCAAGCTCGTAGATTGATGTCTTGTTGCTGTAAATATGATGTAATTCTGGAACAATTTTGTCTAGGTCAAGTGTGGCAAAATTTCAACATATTTCTTTACATTGCCGCCATATCGTTGTGTTGCTGAGTTTTAGGTATATTAAATTTTCCATACAATTTCAGCGATTTCTAGCACTAAAAGCGACAAGAGTGAGAAAAGCTTTGAAGATGCTCCTGAGGCAAAGCCACTTATCTTAAGGAGTTACTCCATTGAGAATAGGCCAGTGCTGCCATCAGATGATCATGTTCCAAGTGAACTGCATCTACATGACGAGAAGGCTGGAAGTAGCTACAGTTCTGTGTTCGACTCTGAAATCGGAGAGAAGCCAAGGCAAAGTCAAAACCTGGATGTGCGAGATTCGCTGTGCCTTACTGATCATACCGTTGAGATGAACACGAGGCGATGGAACACACCGACACATGGCTCGGATAGTGGAGTTTCTGTTCGATCGGAATTATTGCAAGGGGATTCCTTTGAGTCGAATTCCGAACAACGCGATTTGCCAAAGCATACTCGTGGAATTGCTAAGGAATCTTTTATTGGGTTTCATTTTGATACCCCACGGGATCCCCCGCGTGTGGTCCAATCCCAGAACTCAACGGCTGACAGCTTACAGTCGTTTGATAATGAAACAGTAAAGGAAAACGTTATCACAAAAACCAAGGTTGAAGATCAGAAAAAATTGGCCTCAAAAATTGAGGAAATGTTAGTTGCCTCGGAACCAACCATTGTAAATGAATCGATTCAAACATGTTCTTACGTTGATGACAAACGGATGTCAATTAACTTTGACAATTTGACTAAAATAGTAACAGACGACGATGAGACAGATGAAGATGTCTTTGAAGTTGAATGCAAGACTCTTCGACTCTCACAGACGTCACCAGTACGAGCAACTCGGATGATCCAATTTGAAGTAGAGGAACTGCCGAAAGTTGAAGTTTATGAATCACTCGCTAGGTGTGGAAGCCCTGATAAGAAAGAACGGGCAGAAACGTCACTACGGGTAAGTATTTTGCATCTTTTTATCAGGTAATTTAAGGATGTTTTTGTATGACGAAAAATGTCGCCTGGTAACTGAAAGGTTTATATCTAGTTCACCTTTATAATTCTATATCTTGCTGATAAACCGTTCAAAATTTATCCTTTAGCAAATCGTTCATTGGTTAATTCCACCCTTTTGTTATTCTATCCATTTTCTGATGTGCAGATTGGGATACCGAAGCTGATCAGCATATCATCAATTGAATCGGAGCCAATCTCACCAATCATCATCTCAATTAACCCCGAAGATAGAGAATTCAGTGAGTAAATTCTAGTTCCTTATTTATGGAATAAAATTTCTTCGTTTTCAAATTCGTTTCTGACGCTTTATCGTACAGTAACTTTATATTTTGAAGTAAACGACTCCTGAAATCACTCCAATTTTGATATTACCAAATTTCTTTCTTTTTCAAGGCATGCTTGAAGCTGAAATTCAATTTCCAGAAGACACAGCTTCTGTTTTTTCAGAGGTAAGCAAGACAACACCTAACCTTATAAATCAGTGTAGAATTTTCAAAAGGGTTAAATGTGTTTTTTAATATTTATCAAAGTGGCAGAGGGAAAACTACTTGAATCTTAGTGTTGCAAATTTACCGTTGATTAGGCTGTAATAAGCATATTGTTGCTTGCTAGCATCTAAAATTGAGTCAGCTAATAACTGGCATCTGTGAGACAAAATAAACTTTTCGTATTAGGTTTCCGCCCTTGTGGGCCACATTTTCAAGTGTTTGACTAAAATAGCCTCAATTTGTCCTCTAAGATTATTTGGATAATTGTGTTGTTTAAATAAATGATTGTCTTTTTGAATGACGTCTTATTAATTAAAAATAATGTGATATCGAAATCAGTTCCCTGAGAACAATACTATTTTTATAGTTTCTCTTTGATATTTTTGCATTTTTGTGAGCTTTTGTTTGAAATTTATCCTCTAGAGTGACGGCTAAACGCCTGTGGCACACGCGACATCAAGCTCCACTCGGAAATCACCACTTTAATGTGCTGAATAAACACACTTGCAAGCGCCATGGAATCATCCACCATTTTCTGCTTGATCGCAACGTCTCATGGACTTACATGCAATGTATTTAAACTTACGGTGTGTCAGTGAAACCGCAGTTTCGTACCAAGAGCCAAAAGTGTAAAAATGTAAATAGATTCGCTTGAAAGAACTGGATGTATTCAGTAGATTTGCCAACGATCTAAAGTAACTGAACGTAGTATAGTTCAAAGGTTAATTGCTGCTTCTGTGGTGTGGCATCTGGGGTGTCGCTTCTTGAGATCGTTGGGCAAGTGGTCATTATCTAAAGGACTCATATTTCCAGTCACTATTCGAGGTCCTACGTGTTCTGTACAAAAAACAATGGTGGTGGCTTCTACTAAACAACTTCAGTGCGTATCTGTATCAAAATGAGTCTACATTATAGAAGATTTTATTTACTAGCTTGATTTGTTTCTTATGCTAGAACATTGTTTTTTAAGCTCGCAATAATAGTGTCATAGTTATTTCTTTTTCTACTATTAATGCTACAAAGTTTTTATTGCTGTTTTAGTTAGATGAACGCATAACAACATTGGTTAAATGAGATTTTCATTGTCTGTATTTGTTTAAGAAAATATGATTCTCAAATAATCTTGTATAATCTTTTTCACGGAACCCAGCCTGTTATCATCGTCATAATGAACATCATCAATCAACATCATCAATCAAAATCATCAATCAAAATCATCAATCAACATCATCAATCAAAATCATCAATCAACATCATCAATCAAAATCATCAATCAACATCATCAATCAACATCATCAATCACCATGGTAACAATCGTCTTCACAATAATCCCATCATAATTATGACCATCATAGCTTAATCGACATATATTGTGTTAAAAACTCGAGCTAATCTGAAATACACTTCTAAAACAATTTCATTTCAGAAGATTACCAAAAGTTGATGAAATATCTTTAGCTTCAAAACAGTTCTAAGACATCTGAAAAAGCTTTAGAGCAAATTTAAATCATAATCCGCGGGTATTTATATGATTCGTTTCAAGAAAAATCCACCTTTTTTACTACCCAAAATCTGACAAAAAACTAAGGCTATAGGCTTAGGAAAATTGTCAAAAAATGATGGAACTTTTTTTGCTTCAAAACAGTTGAAAACCATATAAAACAACTAAATAACACATTTAAATCATATTTGGGAGGTATTTATATGATTTATTTCAAGAAAAATCCACCTTTTTTACTACCCAAAATCTGACAAAAAAGTAAGGCTATAGGCTTAGGAAAATTGTCAAAAAATGATGGAATTTTTTTTGCTTCAAAACAGTTGAAAACCATATAAAGCAACTTTATAACACATTTAAATCATATTTTGGAGCTATTTATATGATTTCTTTCAAGAAAAATCCACCTTTTTTACTACCAAAAATCTGACAAAAAACTAAGGCTATAGGCTTAGGAAAATTGTCAAAAAATGATGGAATTTTTTTTGCTTCAAAACAGTTGAAAACCATATAAAACAACTTTATAACACATTTAAATCATATTTGGGAGGTATTTATATGATTTCTTTCAAGAAAAATCCACCTTTTTACTACCCAATATCTGACAAAAAACTAAGGCTATAGGCTTAGGAAAATTGTCAAAAAATGATGGATATTTTTTCGCTTCAAAACAGTTGAAAACCATATAAAACAACTTTATAACACATTTAAATCATATTTGGGAGGTATTTATATGATTTATTTCAAGAAAAATCCACCTTTTTTACTACCCAAAATCTGACAAAAAACTAAGGCTATAGGCTTAGGAAAATTGTCAAAAAATGATGGAATTTTTTTTGCTTCAAAACAGTTGAAAACCATATAAAACAACTTTATAACACATTTAAATCATATTTGGGAGGTATTTATATGATTTCTTTCAAGAAAAATCCACCTTTTTCTTACCCAAAATCTGACAAAAAACTAAGGCTATAGGCTTAGGAAATTTGTCAAAAATAATGGATATTTTTTCGCTTCAAAACAGTTAAAAACCATATAAAACGACTTTATAACACATTCAAATCATATTTGGGAGGTATTTATATGATTTCTTTAAAGAAAAATCCACCTTTTTTACTACCCAAAATCTGACAAAAAAGTAAGGCTATAGGGTTAGGAAAATTGTCAAAAAATGATGGATATTTTTTCGCTTCAAAACAGTTAAAAACCATATAAAACGACTTTATAACACATTTAAATCATATTTGGGAGGTATTTATATGATTTCTTTCAAGAAAAATCCACCTTTTTTTACTACCCAAAATCTGACAAAAAACTAAGGCTATAGGCTTAGGAAAATTGTCAAAAAATGATGGATATTTTTTCGCTTCAAAACAGTTGAAAACCATATAAAACAACTTTATAACACATTTAAATCATATTTGGGAGGTATTTATATGATTTATTTCAAGAAAAATCCACCTTTTTTACTACCCAAAATCTGACAAAAAACTAAGGCTATAGGCTTAGGAAAATTGTCAAAAAATGATGGAATTTTTTTTGCTTCAAAACAGTTGAAAACCATATAAAACAACTAAATAACACATTTAAATCATATTTGGGAGGTCTTTATATGATTTATTTCAAGAAAAATCCACCTTTTTTACTACCCAAAATCTGACAAAAAACTAAGGCTATAGCCTTAGGAAAATTGTCAAAAAATGATGGAATTTTTTTTGCTTCAAAACAGTTGAAAACCATATAAAACAACTTTATAACACATTTAAATCATATTTGGGAGGTATTTATATGATTTCTTTCAAGAAAAATCCACCTTTTTTACTACCCAAAATCTGACAAAAAACTAAGGCTATAGGCTTAGGAAAATTGTCAAAAAATGATGGAAATTTTTTCGATTCAAACAGTTGAAAACCATATAAAACAACTTTAGAACACATTTAAATCATATTTGGGAGGTATTTATATGATTTCTTTCAAGAAAAATCCACCTTTCTAACTACCCAAAATCTGACAAAAAACTAAGGCTATAGGCTTAGGAAAATTGTCAAAAAATGATTGAAATTTTTTCGCTTCAAAACAGTTGAAAACCAGATAAAACGATTTTATAACACATTTAAATCATATTTGGGAGGTTTTTATATGATTTCTTTCAAGAAAAATCCACCTTTTTTACTACCCAAAATATGACAAAAAACTATGGCTATAGGCTTAGGAAAATTGTCAAAAAATAAAGGAAATTTGTTCGCTTCAAAACAGTTCAAAACCATATAAAACAACTTTAGAACACATTTAAATCATATTTGGGAGGTATTTATATGCTTTCTTTCAAGAAAAATCTACCTTTTTCTTACCCAAAATCTGACAAAAAACTAAGGCTATAGGCTTAGGAAAATTGTCAAAAAACGATGGAAATTTTTTCGATTCAAAAGAGTTGAAAACCATATAAAACAACTTTATAACACATTTAAATCATATTTGGGAGGTATTTATATGATTTCTTTCAAGAAAAATCCACCTTTTTTACTACCAAAAATCTGACAAAAAAGTAAGGCTATAGGCTTAGCAAAATTGTCAAAAAATGATGGAAATTTTTTCGCTTCAAAAAAGTTGAAAACCATATAAAACAACTTAATAACACATTTAAATCATATTTGGGAGGTATTTATATGATTTATTTCAAGAAAAATCCACCTTTTTACTATCAAATATCTGACAAAAAACTAAGGCTATAGGCTTAGGAAAATTGTCAAAAAATGATGGATATTTTTTCGCTTCAAAACAGTTGACAATCATATAAAACAAGTTTATAACACATTTAAATCATATTTGGGAGGTATTTATATGATTTCTTTCAAGAAAAATCCACCTTTTTTACTACCCAAAATCTGACAAAAAAGTAAAGCTATAGGCTTAAGAAAATTGTCAAAAAATGATGGAAATTTTTTCGCTTCAAAACAGTTGAAAACCATATAAAACAACTTCATAGCACATTTAAATCATATTTGGGAGGTATTTATATGATTTATTTCAAGAAAAATCCACCTTTTTACTACCCAAAATCTGACAAAAAACTAAGGCTTTAGGCTTAGGAAAATTGTCAAAAAGTGATGGAATTTTTTTTGCTTCAAAACAGTTGAAAACCATATAAAACAACTTTATAACACATTTAAATCATATTTGGGAGGTATTTATATGATTTCTTTCAAGAAAAATCCACCTTTTTTACTACCCAAAATCTGACAAAAAACTAAGACTATAGGCTTAGGAAAATTGTCAAAAAATGATGGAACTTTTTTCGCTTCAAAACAGTTGAAAATCATATAAAACAACTATATAACACATTTAAATCATATTTGGGAGGTATTTATATGATTTCTTTCAAGAAAAATCCACCTTTTTTACTACCAAAAATATGACAAAAAACTAAGGCTATAGGCTTAGGAAAATTGTCAAAAAATGATGGAAATTTTTTCGCTTCAAAAGAGTTGAAAACCATATAAAACAACTTCATAACACATTTAAATCATATTTGGGAGGTATTTATATGATTTATTTCAAGAAAAATCCACATTTTTTACTACCCAAAATCTGAGAAAAAAGTAAGGCTATAGGCTTAGGAAAATTGTCAAAAAATGATGGAAATTTTTTCGCTTCAAAAGAGTTGAAAACCAGATAAAACGACTTTATAACACATTTAAATCATATTTGGGAGGTATTTATATGATTTCTTTCAAGAAAAATCCACCTTTTTTACTACCCAAAATATGACAAAAAACTATGGCTATAGGCTTAGGAAAATTGTCAAAAAATAAAGGAAATTTGTTCGCTTCAAAACAGTTCAAAGCCATATAAAACAACTTGATAACACATTTAAATCATATTTGGGAGGTATTTATATGATTTATTTCAAGAAAAATCCACATTTTTTACTTCCCAAAATCTGAGAAAAAAGTAAGGCTATAGGCTTAGGAAAATTGTCAAAAAATGATGGAAATTTTTTCGCTTCAAAAGAGTTGAAAACCATATAAAACAACTTCATAACACATTTAAATCATATTTGGGAGGTATTTATATGATTTCTTTCAAGAAAAATCCACCTTTTTTACTACCCAAAATCTGACAAAAAACTAAGGCTATAGGCTTAGCAAAATTGTCAAAAAATGATGGAAATTTTTTCGATTCAAAACAGTTGAAAACCATATAAAACAACTTTATAACACATTTAAATCATATTTGGAAGGTATTTATATGATTTCTTTCAAGAAAAATCCACCTTTTTTACTACCCAAAATCTGACAAAAAACTAAGGCTATAGGCTTAGCAAAATTGTCAAAAAATGATGGAAATTTTTTCGATTCAAAACAGTTGAAAACCATATAAAACAACTTTATAACACATTTAAATCATATTTGGGAGGTATTTATATGATTTCTTTCAAGAAAAATCCACCTTTTTTACTACCCAAAATCTGACAAAAAACTAAGGCTATAGGCTTAGGAAAATTGTCAAAAAAAAGATGGATATTTTTTCGCTCCAAAACAGTTAAAAACCATATAAAACGACTTTATAACACATTTAAATCATATTTGGGAGGTATTTATATGATTTCTTTCAAGAAAAATCCACCTTTTTACTACCCAATATTTGACAAAAAACTAAGGATATAGGCTTAGGAAAATTGTCATAAAAAATGGAGGATATTTTTTCGCTTCAAAACAGTTAAAAATCATATAAAACAACTTTATAACACATTTAAATCATATTTGGGAGGTATTTATATGATTTCTATCAAGAAAAATCCACCTTTTTTACTACCCAAAATCTGACAAAAAAGTAAGGCTATAGGCTTGGGAAAATTGTCAAAAAATGATGGAAATTTTTTCGCTTCAAAACAGTTGAAAACCATATAAAACAAGTAAATAACACATTTAAATCATATTTGGGAGGTATTTATATGATTTCTTTCAAGAAAAATCAACCTTTTTTACTACCCAAAATCTTACAAAAAACTAAGGCTATAGGCTTAGGAAAATTGTCAAAAAATGATGGAATTTTTTTTGCTTCAAAACAGTTAAAATCCATATAAAACGACTTTATAACACATTTAAATCATATTTGGGAGGTATTTATATGATTTCTTTCAAGAAAAATCCACCTTTTTTACTACCCAAAATCTGACATAAAACTAAGGCTATAGGCTTAGGAAAATTGTCAAAAAATGATGGAAATTTTTTCGCTTCAAAATAGTTGAAAATCATATAAAACAACTTGATAACACATTTAAATCATATTTGGGAGGTATTTATAGGATTTCTTTCAAGAAAAATCCACCTTTTTTACTACCCAAAATCTGACAAAAAACTAACGCTATAGGCTGAGGAAAAATGTCAAAAAAAGAAGGAAATGTTTTCGCTTCAAAACAGTTGAAAACCATATAAAACAACTAAATAACACATTTAAATCATATTTGGGAGCTATTTATATGATTTCTTTCAAGAAAAATCCACCTTTTTTACTACCCAAAATCTGACAAAAAACTAAGGCTATAGGCTTAGGAAAATTGTCAAAAAATGATGGAAATTTTTTCGCCTCAAAACAGTTGAAAATCATATAAAACAACTTGATAACACATTTAAATCATATTTGGGAGGTATTTATATGATTTCTTTCAAGAAAAATCCACCTTTTTTACTACCCAAAATCTGACAAAAAACTAAGGCTATAGGCTGAGGAAAATTGTCAAAAAATGAAGGAAATGTTTTCGCTTCAAAACAGTTGAAAACCACATAAAACAACTAAATAACACATTTAAATCATATTTGGGAGGTATTTATATGATTTCTTTCAAGAAAAATCCACCTTTTTTACTACCCAAAATCTGAAAAAAAGTAAGGCTATAGGTTTAGCAAAATTGTCAAAAAATGATGGAAATTTTTTCGCTTCAAAACAGTTGAAAACCATATAAAACAACTTTATAACACATTTATATCATATTTGGATGGTATTTATATGATTTCTTTCAAGAAAAATCCACCTTTTTTACTACCCAAAATCTGACAAAAAACTAAGGCTATAGGCTTAGGAAAATTGTCAAAAAATGATGGAAATTTTTTCGATTCAAAACAGTTGAAAACCATATAAAACAACTTTAGAACACATTTAAATCATATTTGGGAGGTATTTATATGATTTCTTTCAAGAAAAATCTACCTTTCTTACTACCCAATATCTGACAAAAAACTAAGGCTATAGGCTTAGGAAAATTGTCAAAAAATGATGGAAATTTTTTCGCTTCAAAAC